CAGAAACCCGACATTGGGAAAAACTGGGGGTCATCAACCAACCAGGCAATCCACTAAGTCGAAAAAGATTTTTACAAAGGAACACAAGTAAGCTCAAGAAAAACCTGGATCTATTTAGGAAGATGAGCTATACATCCTTTGTGCAATCTTCTTCTCCAACTTAGCAAAGCTTCAAGCTCAGTTCTTCATGGCAATGGCAGCTCCTTCTCTAGCTCTTTCATCCCATGGCACTAGCTTGCAAGCTCTAACTCAGACTGAAACCAAAATTGGGATTCAAAGGAGAATGACCAATTCCTTCAAGAAACCATACTCTTGAAGAAATCAATCTTGAATCTGACCTAGATATAAATGAGAGTGTTTTAATTAGCTAGATGCAAATTTTCATTTTTCAAATGCAGTTTTCAAAAAGAAACAATTTGGAAAACTCAAAGATGAAAAATATGAGGATGACTCTTGAGGAAGAGCGAAAGTTTACAAAGAAACTTTCCAAAACTTACCTACAAAAGTGACGGCTTCCAATTGAGGAATGCATTGCCTTTTACACAAAAATTCATAGGTTAGAATCGTACAAGGCAGTAGGGAATTTCGCAGAATAGGACAAAATAGATGGGTAGAGTCCGGCTGGAAACAGTGAGCTGGAAATCTCACTGAGGCAGAGGTTGACTAGTCATACAAAGGAAAGATGACTAGTCATAATCTTCAGAAGTTAGAAAATGCAATGTAATGCAATGCAAGATTTACCTTTTGTCTAACCCATTTTTGTCCATCATAATGTAGCCTAATAAGCATACCTAGAGATGTAATTCTTAATCTAAACTAGAGCTTGAGAAAATACAATGATTGTCCTATTACAAAATTGTCAAGGGAAGCCAAAAGAAATACTCAAAATGCATACATTAACAATCTCCCCCTTTTTGGCTATCCTTGACAACACACTCTCTAAATACACTCAACCCAAAACCAAACCTAAGGAGATGAAATGAAGCACCTGCACAACAACAACTAAACTCCCAGGCACAAGACAAACATATTATATCACAGAAATGTTAATTTTAAGCAATATGCAATATGTGCAATAAGGGGGTTGAGAGTGTTCTCCCCCTTGTTGATAAGGAAAGAGCAAAAAGGTAATTACAGAGAAACAGTAATTAAGTGAATTAAACACAAGTCACATAATCAAATTTGAACATTATGCACATAGCACAGGATGATTACACAGCAAATAGCACTTGTTCAAAACAGTACAAAAACAACTCGCCATATCCAAGTGCACAGACTACCCAAAATAAAAAAGATCCCCACAATGTGATTACAAAATATACCACCCAAACAGTCCAAAAATGCTCCCCCTAAATGCGATAAATGCAGAATAGGCGAGACAAGATATAAGAGACCAGAGGATGCAAGTTACAATGCATAAGACCTTTCATTTATAAATAAGAAATCTACTCTTAATCTAATCCCGTTAATTCATATAACTGGACAAGCAAACCTGCACGTCCCATACCATACTTATACCACTTGGTCATGAATGCCCATTTATATGAACTAACACCCATTTCAGTCATCCCATAATTCCCATTTTGTTAGTTATCTTGTCTAACTCCCTTTCGCCAGTCCCGAATCACCCAATAAAAACCATGTGCACTGTGGGATCCCTGAGACCTGGTACCTGCCAAGAGTTAGACTCAACTACACAAAAGACTATTTCCATTACCATCATTTCCATCAGTATTTTCTCCATCCAACATCTTCAACTAATTTCCATGACATGATATAATTATCCATTTCACATATCCATATATTCCACAACAATGTAGCTATTTAAAATATCACTAATGCATATATAATTATGCCAACATTGGTCAAATAGTTAAGAGTACGTAAATACACCCAATACAAGGAATGTCAATCAAACTGTACCACGCATAATATAATGCTCATGAAATTTAATTAAAACAATCTCTGTAAAAGGCCCCCAAGAAACCCCTACCTTGATTCCAATGTTTTTACAACGTAAGATAACTCTACAATCCAACACCTTGAGTTCCTCCAAAGTCTTTCTTGTTCTACCAACACTTTCTAATATTTTTCCTCTTCTTTCTTTTCTCTATCACTTTCTTGTTCTATCACGTACTACCATTCATGTTGTAAAAAATAAGTTAAGGGAATGGTCCCTATTTATAGTACAAATAAAAGTTGGCTAAAGGTGAGATAGAAGGGGAATGTCAACATTTCAAGTAGGTGGTGTCAATTGGCATGTGCATATGATTGTAATGTTGCTAGCTATAAAAAATTAGAGCAGGAGGTGTTCAAAGCTAAGCAAATTCAAGATATATAGATGACAACTCACAAGGTGATAGCGCTCCTAGCTTAGCTATAAATAAATGGACATGTCTATCCCTAATATGAATCAAAGTTGATCACTCCAATCCTTTAAACTTAGCCACCAAATATCAATAACATACAGGAGGTGCAATGATATTAAAACATATTTGGATATGTATTTAAAGTATATATTTATTAATGATAATATTCCTGAAAGTATAACATGTACCAAGACAATTATATATAAGTTATGTAACAAAATATTTATTTTCCTAAAATATAATATATATATATATATATATATATATTTTTTTAAAATCCAGGACTTCACAAGGGTGTTCCAACTCTCTTGCAGTATGCGATAACCTACGGCATCAGCACGTTTTAGTCGATAATAAATGTGGGATTTGTGGTCAGGAAGGGAAGACCCAAATTCGTGATTTTACTGGGTGGATGATGCAAGCTGGAGGTCAAGGAGACATGCGGTATGGATCAACTCTCGTTGCTGAGGTTGTGCTATTAGTTCAGTTTTGTTAGCTTATCAACAGGGTGGTTTCTCTTGAGTGGCGGTTGAGTCTGATTCCCAAGTGGCCATACATATGGTGAATGGGGACCGGCCGGTGGATGTGGAGGTGGAGAGCAAGGACAGAACTACACTATGGCTAGAGTGGGTGGGCTCTAGCCTAGTGCAAAGTTTGGGAAAAAATAAATTTAATACTAATGTTTAGGCACTACACCTCATTTTACAAAAATTAGCCCAATCCATCTAAGCAAAAATTAGCATGTCCTATCCAAACAAATCTCCAGTTAGCTTCAAATTTTTTCCTATGAGAAAATAAATGGAATTTTATTTAGATCCTTACTCATATAAGAAATAATAGCCCACCTATATAAAAATTTCTAGTTCAGGCCTTGGTGGAGAGTATCTTTTTCGACATCCAGGCTGCGAAATGAGAATTCCATGAAGTATTGTTTGTTTTTGCCCCTTGCAATTGTAACAAAGCTGCTCACGAGGTGGCTTCTTTTGCATGTAGGGAAGTTGATAGTTTTTATTGGGGCTTTGTCCCTCTAGCATGGTTGTTTAACACCTTGGCTGGCAATGCTAATGTAAGCAGTTGACTTCACTAAAAGTTTCCCTTTTCTTGGAAAAAAAAAAACTCATACTCTTCCGCACCGTAATAAGGTCCAGACATCCGCATAAGAGAAGAACTATATATATAAATTAATTATTGTATGATAAATCATATTATAGTGTCTACGCACAAATAAATTTGGTTAAGTCTTTGAACAATCAATATGTCTTTTGGTTGAAATGGTACAAACCAACCAATGTCTTTTGGCCATTATGCTCTCTATATATACTTTATGTTGCTAACATACCAAAATATGTCAGAAACTATGTACTCTCTCTTCTCCTCAACAATCACACAATTTTCTTATAGAATTTTGCTATTTGTAGATTTCAAACTTTGTTGTATAATAGAAGTGATTTGCCAAGAATTCGTTAGCAAACTCAATTGAGTGGGAATTAGGCGCTACAACTCCCACCACCACTGCCACTTCCAACCTCCTTTGAAATCGGGACAAAGGAAACTATTCAAATCATACCTCAAAGTCGTTTCCCATATGTCAATCTTTACAAATAAGAAAGACCATACAAGATGACAAATTTGAATTGGAGAGTTGGTCCATTGACTTAAACAACTCTATATGTTTTATGGATCCAATTTCTCTCCTAATATATATATATTTTAGAATAAACGATAGTTATTATTAGGAACAAACGAAAGTACAAAGCAATTATGGTGCCAAATATGGATAAATCTTCTCTAGTGACCAAACACAACAACATGTTGAATTGATTTAGAGAGAATCACACGCAACCCAAAAAAACACTAAAATCTTCGATTCAGCAACTATAAGCACATGTACTTAGACATGCAACACAAATCCGCCGCGCAAAGGCAGAAACGGTAAATTCGTATTGAAATTTGAAAGTTAAAAAAAATTCCTAAATAGAAAACATACCACAACAAACTCTAAAGAGTTCTTGAAAATTATTGGATTAAAACAAACTAAGAAGTAGAACCACCGCTCCACATCTGCCCAAGCAACTCGAAGAGAGTCATAGTGCCATATCAACTAAACCCATAGTGTCACATTAGCTAAACTCAAACCTGACGCAACCTAATATCTTCCCCTCTTTGCAGCTCCAAATTATGTAGAAGGCTAACAAATGGAGCTAAATCCTTGTGTGTGTGGGCCAAAAGACGGCGACTATATCATGACGACGACAACATTTCACGTCAGCTGCTTCCACATTACAAAACCTAATCTTTTCTTTTATTAAAGCTCATATTTGGTCTATAATTAAGTTGTGAATTTATTCAATTATTCCTTTTCGGACCGCCCCAAGCTGGGAGATATTTGAGTAGATTCAATTAAGCTTTGATTCGACAAGAAGATCTGTCTTACCCATTTTTACAGGTAAAGGTAAAACTTGAACTGAACTATTTCCACATTAATCTCCACAAAAAATTGTAATAGTACCATAAATCTTTTAGATAGAAAAATAAATATAGAAACAGAAAAATGCACACAGAAACAGAGTCAGACAATCACTGAACAAAGAAATAATAAAAAACTAGACTAGAAAGTAAAAAAACTGATATAAATTAATAGATAGAGAGAGTGATAGAGCTAACGAAAAGAGTCAAAGGAAGTTGCAACTTTTGAAAAAGGGAAGAAAAAAAAAAGAAAGAAAAAAGAAAAGGCAAAAGAGAGAGGAAATGAATGAATGGGGGAGGCATCAGAATCATAACTCATGACATGAACACACCAAGTGCTCCTCTCTCTCCTCCACTTCCCCACTTTCTTCTTCAACACCCAACAAACTCTCTCTCTCTAGGGTTTTACTTCCACCACATCGCGTGTTGTACCATTGCCTCTACTGCACTTTTCCTACGGTTCGTACGCTACACATTCTCTCTCTCTCTCTCTCTCTCTAATTGTTTTTATCTCTCCTGAATCCAACTCTGTAGAACCCAACTCTCTGATTTGCTTTTGCTTCTTTGCGTTATATAAATTTGGGATTTTTGTATGACTCTATCACTGTCTCTCATTGTCTAATCTGGTCTGATTTACTTTGTTGTTCCTTTAATTTTCCAACTCTGTAGAACCCAACTCTCTGATTTGCTTTTGCTTCTTTGCGTTATATAAATTTGGGATTTTTGTATGACTCTATCACTGTCTCTCATTGTCTAATCTGGTCTGATTTACTTTGTTGTTCCTTTAATTTTATTTTGTTGGTTGATTGAATTTATGGGCTTGGTTGGTGAGAAATTTAGGAGTGGAAAGTGGTTTACTTGTAGCGTATGTCATGGGTACTTTGGTGTTGAATTTGTTGGATCATAAAGTAGGATTTTTTTTCCTGTTCTGGTTGGCCTTGGAGGTTTTGGAAATGGTGAGTTGAGTTTTGGGGTTTGCTTGTCTGTTGATTGCTGTGACAATGTGAAAATAGTAACTTTGGGATGGTGGATTTGCTGTTTTTGATAAGTGTTCTTTGTTTGCGTGTGCTTTTTTAGCTGATTTAAGGGATTGTTTTGTTGTGGTTACAACTGGAAAATTGAAGTGGATGAATTTGTGCTTGGTAGGCAGATTCGATAGCTGTTTTTCCAGAACATTGTGCTAAAGCCACTTGTAGGAACAGTTAAGTAGTTATTGAATACCACATCCGAGGCATACTAATTACTAAGGGATATTGGGTATATAACCAGGCCCTATGAACCAGAGTATTAAACTTCTGCTTAGTTATTTTGGACAAGGATCTATGTTGTTCCAGTATTTCTCATTTTCTTGATCAGACATGTTCGTCTTCTGAATGAGAAAGTTACTTGGCATTGGAAACCAACTGGTGTGCATGTTTAGTTTATAATTGGTTAAAGTAGGTATACTGATTGAGGATGCGATTTCAATTATACTTGGTAAGTGACTAGTGTTCGGTTTTTTGTCAATGCAGGAAACCTGCATTCCTCAATGCGGTAAACAATGATACATGGATATAGAGATGTTTCTGTGAGACTCTTATTTGATGAATTTTGTTCTCTTTAGTTTAGTAGCTGGGAGATAAAATGCATACTTAAAAAGACTGGGTTGCGTGGGTTGACATTAGTTGAGTGAACGAAATGGAGTTTGTAAGGTCTTGGTTAAAAAAATTGAAGTCCAAGGAGAAGGTGAAGTCCTCAAAGAACAAGGATACTACAGGCAATGGGAAAGAGGGGTCAAAAACACCAACGACGGAAGAAGTGCCTTCAAATGTAACCAAGCAGAAGGTTGCAGCTGCAAAGCAGTATATAGAGGATCATTACAAGAAGCAGATGAAAAGTTTGCAAGAGAGGAAGGAGCGGTATGAATTTAATAATTCTCTTTATAGTGGTTGTGTTAGACAGAGAAAACTGTCTGACACAACTTGCTAAACTACTTATTGCTTCTCTTTATAGTGGTGGTGCATGAAAACCATGAAAGCAAGTTGCCTGAGTGTTGAGTTTTCTCCATTTTCGTGACTCGGACTAACGGTAGATCATACTTTTAATACAGACGCAATGTACTAGAAAAGAAGTTGGCTGATGCTGATGTCTCCGAGGAAGAGCAAAGTAACTTGCTGAAGTACTTGGAAAAGAAGGAAACAGAATATATGCGTATTCAGAGGCATAAAATGGGTGCTGATGATTTTGAGCCACTAACGATGATAGGAAAGGGTGCATTTGGGGAGGTATATCTTTTCTTTTAATAATGTTGTACTGTATCATTTTGTCCTGTTGTATCCATGTACCGCGGCATAATTTTTACGTGATCATATTGTATTTGACCATTTCAATAGTGTTTGTAGTCTATATAGGTCATGGCTGCAAATTAAGTTCTATATATATACATGCATTTTTCCTATCTCCTCCCAGAAAAACCAGTAGAAGAAAAACCTTCTCCCTCTTCTATCCTTTTTCATTTTAAATATGACAGAGGGTATTCTGGGAGAGATGGGCAGGAGAAATTTTTTTTTTTTTAGCTCTGGTGGCATTATGGTTATGGTTTGGGAGTTTTGGCATCTGTGCGTGGGTTAGGTCACATGTCACATCAGCTCTGTTTAGCAGACCACATTACCAGGCCGGGAGTTAGTTTTCATGTCATATATTAACTGCAAAGAGTATGAAAATATGGCTTGTTGCATGTACAAGCTTAGATTGCATGGAGTTGCAACTTATTGATTCTTCTGACTGATTTTGGCATATATAACTCATCTTGAGAAACAAAAGTGGCCTTTGTTAATACATTTTGTCTTACAACATTGTAATCAACATATTGGATATTATTTTTTCTTTTGTGACCTATTTTGTTTCTCTGGTGCAGGTTAGAGTTTGTAGGGAGAAAGCAACAGGCCATGTATATGCAATGAAGAAGCTTAAGAAATCAGAGATGCTTCGTAGAGGCCAGGTATTCATTTTCCCAAACTTTTTCTTCAATCTAATATTTTTTTTTCTTTGGTGGCTTAGTGCAATAGATATCTTTCTGTTTAGGTTGAACATGTGAAAGCTGAGAGGAATCTACTTGCAGAGGTTGACAGTAATTGTATCGTCAAGCTCTATTGTTCCTTCCAGGACGAAGAGTACTTGTATCTCATTATGGAATATCTTCCCGGTGGAGATATGATGACTTTATTGATGCGCAAAGATACATTGACAGAAGATGAGGCCAGGTTTTATGTTGGGGAAACGGTCCTAGCTATTGAGTCCATTCATAAACATAATTACATTCATAGGTAAATTGATTGTAATATTATTATCTCATGGTACATATTTATATGCCTTCTTATCTTATTTTTATGTCCTATCATGAGGAATGTTCCTTTCCATGTTAATATGTTACAGGGATATCAAGCCTGACAACTTGCTGCTCGATAGAAATGGTCACATGAAATTATCGGATTTTGGATTATGTAAACCATTAGATTGCAGTAATCTCCAAGAAAAGGATTTTTCTGTGGGAAAAAATCTTAGTGGGGCTCTTCAAAGTGATGGACGCCCTGCAGCACCAAAACGTACACAACAGGAGCAATTGCAGCATTGGCAGAGAAACAGGAGGATGCTTGTAAGTTCTAGTACCATGTTCCTGATATGGCTATCATTGCTATAGTACTGACAATGTTAATACAAATCCAGCATCCTCTTGTTTAAGTCCTTACTGTGGAGGATTTGTATCCTACGCAATTACTGTAAATGTTTAAACTCAACAGACTCCATTGAGAATTTATCATTAAAAAAACCGACAAGGTTTGGGATCTACTACATGAGTCCTTTTTATGAACTACTTGGGGTCCTTATCTCGAGTAACCATATGGTTCCAAATTCCGTGTGACTTCCTATGCCTATTTACATCTCCATGTACCCCATTTCACTCTGATCTATCTCAAATAGCATTTCCTCATTTTTTTGTCTATAAAGATATGCGTAGAAATGTCATATACCTAGAGATATCTCCAGTCCATCCTTTTGGACGTCAATGTGATTTGGGGTTTTCAAACTGTTATTCATGTTGCAGGCTTATTCTACTGTTGGAACCCCGGATTATATTGCCCCAGAGGTTTTGCTGAAGAAAGGATATGGAATGGAATGTGATTGGTCAGTGTATAAGACTAGTTTTTTTTTTCTTTCAAATTTGCCTTTACATACAGCTGAGATATTGTTAATACTTTCCAGGTGGTCGCTTGGGGCTATTATGTATGAAATGCTTGTGGGGTATCCACCCTTTTATTCAGATGAGCCCATGTCAACTTGCAGGAAGGTAATTTTCAAGGGGACTAGTGTTTACTTTTCATTTGATATGCCAACATATACCAAGCTATGGCTTTAGGATATATGTGTGGTAATATTGACACTGGTGGGATGCAGTTTTGTACTCATGAATATATCATATATGGAGCTTGCTTTCTGGTGATTGGAGTGTGGCTTCAACATATCTCATAATTTCTGTCTTGCTGGTGCTTTTTGACAATTCGCCCCCCACCCCCAAAAAAAGAAAGAAAAAAGAATCACACTTTGGATTATGTCTTAATTGTTTTATTTTCTTACTCTTTATTCACCCATTCTCATTATTTTTGTCCATATTGTCGTTTATGGTTGAACAGTACCTCTTTTCTCATTTATCCAGATAGTTAATTGGAGAACTCATTTGAAATTTCCTGAAGAAGCCAAACTCTCTCCGGAAGCAAAGGATCTCATTAGTAAACTCTTATGTAATGTTGATCAGAGGCTTGGAACTAAAGGGGCAGATGAAATAAAGGTGTTGTGTGGTGTGTCCTATTCTAGATTCTCTAATTTACTGTTAGAATTGGACTGGTAACTGGTGAAATTAACTAGTTGGCCTTGTTATTTTCAGGCTCACTCCTGGTTTAAAGGCATTGAATGGGACAAATTGTATCAAATGAAGGCTGCATTTATCCCCGAAGTCAATGATGAATTGGATACCCAGAACTTTGAGAAGTTTGAAGAGGTAGATTTTAGTTTCGTATATGTATGTGTATGTGTATGTACACAGCATGATTAGCCATTCTTGGGCATGTTTTTGCTAACCCTTTCTGTCCCTTTATCCTTATTTGCTGGTGGTAGGGTGACAACCAGATTGAAAGTTCAACTAGATCTGGTCCATGGAGAAAGGTTGGTGCATATAGTTTCAGTTATATGCATTTTGATGCTGGAGCGCTGCTCTCGTAATATTTATGTCATTGTATCACATAATGCTTCTGTTGCTTGAGCATTTCGTTAGCTAATCCTGCTTTGTTTCACCTCTCTTTGGACTCTTTCCTGTTTCTGAATTTTCTTTCAAACATTGATGCTGCTTGGTTAGAAGAAATTGCTTTACCAAAACTGCAACTTCTTCAACCTTTTTCAAGAAAGTTTTTTATAAAAAAAAATTTGAATGTTTTCTTTGGAATGAATAATAATTTCCTTTTTTGATTAAACAGAATATATTAGTTCCTTTCTACGCGTGGTGGGCACTTGATTGCAGGACCCTGAGGACATTTATCATAATATAGAAGTAAATGGGTTCATGAGTTTTCCATTGAGTAATATGGTGTCTTCAGTATATGGGTTGGTCAGTGTGCCCATAATATTTAGTGTCATATTTTTAGGAAAATGAGTACTTTTGCATGATAACGAGCTATAGGAAAATAAGTACTTTTGCATGATAACGAGCTATAGGATTAACATAGGATCTATGTACTTTTTCTGAGTTGTAAATCATGTGTATCATTTTTATAATAAACAATGGTCACTGCTAATGTTTTGGTTGCTGTGTCAAATGTAGATGCTGTCTTCTAAAGATGTCAACTTTGTGGGTTACACATACAAGAACTTTGAAATCGTAAATGATAATCAATTGCCTGGGATTGGTATTACCTTCCATCCTTTTATATAGCGTATCTATGTACTCTTTTGAATCGACTTTTCTTAATTGTATGCATTAATTTTTGCAGCTGAATTGAAGAAGAAGAGCACAAAATCTAAGCGGCCTTCCATCAAGTCCCTTTTCGGTAAGATATTCTAATAAGTTGTTTTCCTCGCTCATATGAAATAGTATCCATCATGTGCTGCAAAGAGTGAAGTGATACATATTGTGAATTCTGAAACTGAATGGTTCATTTATTTAATATGTTTGCTTTTTATAACCTAAGTGTTTGCTTTTTCTTATTGTTCTGGAACATGTGCTAGAATCCTTTAATTTTCTTTGGCATAGTCTCCAAAACATAAGGACATTATTTGTTTTGTCGACAGATGATGAGTCCGCTATGGCTGCCAATCAACCTGCTCAAGGAAGCTTTATGAAGCTCCTCCCTCCCCAACTAGAAGCCCCTGAGAAACAGAGTGAATCCCAATGATGTGCACTAGTTTCTCTCATAACTTCCAGTGGCTGTAGAGTTCCAACCAAAGAGAATGTTTTTTCGGTGATTAATTTATCTTTAGATCGGGGCAAAGGCCTCAGAAACCAATGGTTTGGCATATTAGTTAGTTCTTGGGTCTGGGTCTGGTCTGCTATGTTGCTTTTTTGTCACATATTTTCTGCAAAGTATATATTCTTTGAAAATCGTTGTGTATTCTTTATTTTTACTCCCTTTGTCAAGATGCAATGTACAATTGCCACATATTTGTTCATGTATTTAACTTGTGTTGATGATTATCATACCAATGCTATATAATGAAAAGAGTAAATTGGATCATTAGTCTCTTACCTTTTACCCGACTAAATCAGTCCCTTGTAGAGGACAGCAAAACAAGAATGCCATCTAATGGTTTGGAGTGTACAGAACACAATATTTAATTCTTACTTTATTGTTGTCATTGTTTTTTCTTTTGGTCCTTTTTTCTGTTGGTCTCTGTATTATGTTGTTCATTCATTTCATTCCCCGGCTTTTTACTAGGCTTAAAAAATGGTACTTTGAAGAAACAAAATTTGTTTGCTGGAAAAAGAGTTTAAATCCAACATGAAAAAGATAATGAAAGACGTGAATTTGGCAGTTGGTCATGGCAGTGAGTCTATTCCTTGCTTCAAGTTTATATCTCCCTACCCCTAGATTATGTAAGAGTAGTTTTTGACTATGTAAAAACATGAAAGAGACCATGAAAACTTAATTGAGTCGAGAGAATCAGAAAAATCCCTAATATGCTGAGTGTGGTACGTCGTAGTAGCAAACGGTTCTTCAAAATTGTTCATGGAAGACACCGCAACCGAAGTATACATCTAATCTCGGGGAAGCGATCAAAGAACCCAAAACAACAATGCTTGTAGCCAGCCTCATTAACAAAAACCCAATCACCAAGAACCTGCAAAACCCATGTGCTCCATCCAAACACTGCTCAAAACCCTCTTCAAGAACCCCAGCACCATTAAATCCCAGTCCCAGGCCAAACAGCTCCATGCCCAAATCCTCAAAACCAAAGGCCCTTCACCTCCTGACCTGTCCTTTGTGCTCTCTGTTTACTCAAACTTGAACCTCTTACATGACTCCCTCACTCTCTTCAACACCTTCCATTCTCCTCCCACCACTCTTGCATGGAAGTCCATTATTAGATGCTACACTTACCATGGCCTCTGCCGCCATTCCTTGGCTTCCTTTGTAGAAATGAAGGCTCTTGGCATATACCCAGATCACAATGTGTTCCCTTCTGTGCTTAAATCATGCACATTGATTAAGGACTTGAGGTTTGGTGAGTCAGTTCATGGGTGCATTGTTCGGTTTGGTATGGATTGTGATTTATATACATGTAATGCTCTTATGAATATGTACGCCAAGTTAGAGGCTTTGGCTGAGACTGGTGGGCAGAGGTTTAGTGCGCCCAAGTTGTTTGATGGAATGCCTCAACGAAATCAAGTTAGTAAATTTGGGAGTGATTTAGGTAGTTCTATGGAATTGAGTGGTAGAACTGTGTCTTTGGAGGTAGAAAGTGAGGGAAGGATGCTACTTTCGGATGGGAATGCAAAGAGGGAAGTGGGTGGTGGTGACACTTTGTATAGTAGTCAATCAAATAAACTGAGTAATAAGTTGCAGGTGCAGGTAATGGGCATTGACAGGAATGTTAATTTGATTTCATCTAGAGAGGCATCTCCTCAAATTGACGCATACCGGGAAGTTGATGATAAATTTAATTGGGACGTTAATAAGGTTTTTATGCATAAGGAAGGCAAAAGAGGTACCAAAGTGGATAGCGTGAGAAAGGTCTTTGACTTGATGCCAAAAAGAGATATTGTTTCCTGGAATACAGTGATTGCGGGGAATGCACAGAATGGGATGTATGAAGAAGCTTTAGCAATGGTCAGAGATATGGGGAATGCCAACTTGAAGCCTGATTCTTTCACTTTGTCTAGCGTCCTTCCAGTTTTTGCAGAATATGTAGATGTTATCAAGGGAAAGGAGATTCATGGGTATGCAATAAGACATGGGTTTGATGCAGATGTATTCATAGGGAGTAGCTTAATTGACATGTATGCAAACTGCAATCGAATTAAAGATTCGCTTCGGGTGTTCAACCAGCTACCTAAGCGTGATGCCATTTCATGGAACTCAATCATTGCAGGTTGCGTGCAGAATAGTATGTTTGATGAAGGACTGATATTCTTTCGGCAGATGTTGATGGGTAAGATTAAGCCTGTGCCAGTATCCTTTTCAAGTACCATTCCAGCTTGTGCTCACTTGACAACACTTCATCTAGGGAAGCAGCTCCATGGATATATAATTAGGGGGGGATTTGAGGACAATGTGTTCGTAGCGAGCTCACTGGTGGACATGTATGCCAAATGTGGTAACATTAGGATAGCGAGGTGGATTTTTGATAAAATGGAGCGACATGACATGGTGTCATGGACAGCCATGATTATGGGATATGCTTTGCACGGTCATGCCCCTGATGCTTTTTCCTCATTTGAGCAGATGGAAGGAGAGGCAGTAAAACCTAACTATGTCTCCTTCATGGCTGTATTGACCGCATGTAGCCATGCTGGATTGGTAGACAAAGCTTGGAAGTATTTTAATAGCATGACTAAAAAATATGATATTGCTCCTGGTATAGAGCACTATGCTGCTGTTGCAGATGTTCTTGGTAGAGCTGGAAGGTTGGAGGAAGCTTATCAGTTTATCTCTAGCATGCATATAGAACCAACAGGAAGTGTATGGTTAACATTGTTGGCTGCTTGTAGAGTTCACAAGAATGTTGAATTGGCTGAGAAGGTTGCTGAGAAAATATTTACAGTTGATCCCGAGAACATGGGAGCTTATGTGCTGTTGTCAAACGTATATTCTGCTGCTAAGAGATGGAAAGATGCAGTGAAAGTGAGAACCTGTATGAGGGATAAGGGCTTGAAAAAGAAGCCAGCCTGCAGCTGGGTTGAAGTTAAAAACAAGGTTCATGCTTTTGTGGCAGAAGATAAATCCCACCCATATTATGATCATATAATTGAGGCTCTAGATGTCATTTCGGAGCAGATGGAACGAGAAGGGTATGTGCCCAACACAAATGAGGTGCTCCATGATGTTGAGGAGGAGCAAAAGAAGTACTTATTGTACCACCACAGTGAAAGGCTTGCCATAGCATTTGGCATCATCAGCTCTCCTGCTGGGGCAACAATTCGAGTAACGAAGAACATTCGGGTGTGCGTGGACTGCCACGCAGCAATAAAATTTATGTCAAAGATCGTCGGAAGAGAGATGATTGTCAGGGATAATAGCAGGTTTCACCATTTCAAGGATGGAGAGTGTTCCTGTGGCGATTACTGGTGAGATAAACAATGAGATCATGCCAACTTAATTAAAGGCATCTTTTGCCAGACTCATAGTCATTGACACATTTAGGACAAGAGGAGGAATGTTTAGGGAGCAACACAAATTAGGTAAATTATTTTTTTGCAGTCATAATCTGTACAAAAAATTGAGTTTGAAATTCATAAATTTCTATTTATTACAATTACAATTTTACTTGATGAGGGTTGTATGATATGTTCATTATCAATGTCATGAGATTTACATATTTTCTCAATTTTTGAAAGGCAATACCGGCAGGGCCGCCCTGACTTTTCGGTGGCCCTAGGCAATAAACTAAATGAGGCCCCTTCCCTTTGTATATATACAATTGCAAAAAAAACAACAAATAAAATGATTTTATGTAGAGTGTAGCCATATCTCCATATAAAACAAAAAAATTCTGATTACATATTTAATATCATGAAGGAAATTAAAAATTACAAACCAACATTCCAACAACCAATAATGGGAACATGTCAAGATACATTAAAACTAAGTGTTTGTTCAAAATACTAAACTCTTTCCCTTAAGATTAGCTTCTGGCTTCAAGCTTCATCACATGAGTTTAGCAAAATCAGCTTTGAAAACAACATATGAAATGGTTTGCAGCAAATTTGGATGGGTACAAAATCTTCCTGTAGCCTTCTTCCTCCCAAACAGGCAGCCAATAAGAGATCCATCCCATTACAATGTGCAAATATCTGAAGCTTTCCCTTTATCAAATAGCTGCTTGATTTCCTCTGCACCATTTACAATCAAAAAAGTAAAAACTGTAACATTAAAAGTACAATCAAACACTGAAAAATCCTTGATCTTCTAGCACTTTGAGAAACTCCACTCCGTACCTCCACCCGATTCATGTACATCTGCAATGATAAGATATATGCAAGATTTTGTTAGAAAAGTTTAGTAGATGTCATTGTGCAGTTTTATAGCGACTTATATAAGGAGACTTGGGAGATTATCTCCACCAGGCAGAGGATGTTTTGCCTTAGAAACAAATCCAAATTAAGTTAGCTAGCTGTATGCTGTAAGTTAGCGGCTTGATATCTAGAAAAGTCAAATTAGAGTGCCAGTATGAATCTATAATTATCCTTTGCGGAGTTTCGTAGAGACAAAAAACAAGTTAGACAAGAATAAAATCTGAACAATAATCTGATTACCACTCTGTATCTCTCTGTGTTTTGTTCCTATTGGAAATTGAATTGAAACAATAGTTTGCTGGGTAGGAACAAATATAAAGAAAAAATTATAAATCTGATTACCTTTTCAGTTTCTCATGCTCCTCCCCTCTTGGTCACCATCAATCTCAAAGACAATTTGTGAGCTTTTTGGGTGAGATTGAAACTTAGGGTTATAATATGAATCTGATATGAGAAAGATGATAGAAACTGAAAATAAAGGATATGGGTAATGGATTGAAGGGAGATGGGAATAACAGAGAAAAATATAATGGTGGATTATTAAGAGATCGATGGATTAAATAGAGCTCCATGGAGAAATAATTAGGAAAGGAGCTGTTGCTCTTGGCTGGTTGTGTGGCGTAGGAAACAAAGAGTTTCTGAATGGGAAGAGGAACAGCCTTCCTCGTCAATTACAACGTTGAGAGTAGTAAAAGTTTTTTTCTTTGTATTTTTACTACAAGCGATGGCCTAAACTAGGAGAGAGACTTTCATGCACAAGAATAGCAAAGTGTTATTTCCGGCCAATAGCGCAATGACACGGGGATAACTTTTCCACATGTCATTGCATTATTGGCCGGAGATGGCAAAACAGTGCAATCCCCGTTACAAGAAAGTTTTTCTGCTAAACTAGGAGAGAAGAGGGGGTTTTTCACACACATTACCACATTGGCTAAAGCGCCCCCAAAAAAAAAAAAAAGAGTCGTGAACACCTTGGATCGGCGGAGAGACCGAAGGCGCACGGGTCCGGAAGGACAGCTAAGGGGTATTGGGGTCTGTATGGATAGCTGAAGCGAAGAAAAAAAAAGGTCGTGAACACCTTGGATCGGTGGAGAGACTGAAGGCGCACGGGTCCGGAAATACAGCTAAGGGGTATTGGGGTCTGTATGGATAGCTGAAGTGAAGAAAAAAAAAAAAACAGTCGTGAACACCTTGGATCGGCGGAGAGAACAAAGGCACACGGGTACGGAAGGACAGGTAAGGGGTATTGGAGTCTGTATGGATAGCTGAAGCGCAAAAAAAAAAAAAAAAAAAAAA